CGGCGAACAACACGATAAGGTCCGACGTACTTAGAAAGAAGTTATTGAGATAGTCCCGGCTGACGCAGCGATGTGGCTAGGACACGGTGGAAGAAACACATTTGGGTGATGACTCTAGCCGCTCTTCCCGCGGGGAGCGAGCGACCAGGTCAGTCAGGTCGTGGTCGGAGCTAGCCTCGAACCAGGAGTAGTTGGTTCCGCGCCGCCGCGGAGGGCGCTGAGGTATGAGGTCCCTCCTCGGCGGCCACGGTGTCGGCGGCGTAGCGTGCTCGCCTTTTTCGCGGTGTGGTGTGATGGTGGTGTGCGCGGCCAGTGGCTGGCCTCGTGTTTTGCTTCGGTGCTGTGTCGAACACAGGTGCCACCATCGTGCATGAAGGTGAGCCTTCTTAACCCGAAGAATAAAGAGAACACAGATTTACGGACTCTGGCGACTTGGTGGCGACGTGGCGGCGGTGAGGCACAACAAGAAGTGATGAGCGAGGCAATGCGGGACCACCGCTGGGAGAAACAACCGGAGCGGTCGCTTTGGGAGGGATCCCATACTTGGGCGCCATCTATCCCCGTGCGAGTGAAGCGCGCTCGGTGCGCCGAACACAATGTGGCCGCCGCGTCGGATAGAGAGTCATCACCTATAGATGTGTTTCTTCCACCATAGGTACAATAAGAAGCGGTGAGCGAGGAAATGCGGGACCACCGCTGTGGGGGAGAAACAACCGGAGCGGTCTGTGTGGGAGGGAGGCCATATACTTGAGCGCCATCTATCCCCGTGCGAGTGAAGCGCTCGGTGTGCCGAACATAATGCGGTGGCCGCGTCAGACAGAGAGTCATCACCTAAATGTTTCCTTCCACCGTGGGCTAGAAGTATGTCCCCAATTTCGTAAGCCCACAGCGTAACCCCTCGTGCTGCTCGCACGTTCCCCCGTACCCAACCGTTCCTCGTATTTATCTTCTTAACAGCGTATTAGAAACATACGATAAATGAATGCACGATAGAGAGAATAGGGTTCATGAATGAGAAAACCTTTGGAAAATATCCTTGAAAAGGTGCAAAAGAAAGTCCTAGTTCGCAACATGAAACGTGTTTTCTCTAACAACTGTTCGCTTAATGAAATCGTTTGCTATACAATGGTCTACTAGGCAAGCAAGGTCCTTGTGGCAATGGAGCAAGACAGTATGGTTTAGTCTAGCCTGTCCCATTGTAGAGCGTAGGTAAGTCTTAACTCTCCGGAGGCACGGTCGAGAAAGACCTTTCTGGCGTGCAGGAAGACGGGAATTGTCAGTGCAATTCGGAGAAGCTTAACCAACTCTGGAAGAAGAACTCTCAGGGGTTCACCATCCTTTCCCGAAAGGTCTCTTACATCTTGAAATGCTAAAAGGCTCGTGGCACGTTGCTTTGCTATGTCCATTAACATGTCTCTGTGAAGTTAGAAACAGCCCGCATCAAGATCCCCTTTATTGAATCCACGCAGATAGGTGCTGTCGATTTCTCCCGTTACAAACTTATCGACTTGCGTCATGTGATCCCACATTTATGCTGGAAACCGCGTTCGCAAGGATGCATGCACCGTGTCAATAACTCATAGAACCGTTGCCTGTAAAAAATCTTCCGGGGAATTAAAGCCACGGGCATGGGATCCTTCATCACAACGATGTGGTGCTTGCCACTGTCTCTTCGGAATGCTAGGATCCTCAGCCTTCATTTCTCCCACTTTAGTGAAGACATCGCTCCGAAAACAAGAGAAGTCGTCACGGCGTTGACCGATACTCTCTTTAACCGCCTCCACTATGAGCTCTGCCTGCGTGGCTAAACTGAAGGCTGTTCTTCTGAAGAGCGGTATTTACACTTTACAATCTATCAAATACAAGCAGCACAAGCCTAAGCGTAAAATAAGCATCGAATTTCTGGAGTGTCCTTCCCTACCCACTCGCTTTGGCTCCAGTGTCATTTTTTTCATCCGATGAAAGCGTGAAAAGGAATTTGGCTAGTTCGGAGTAGCCGACCTGAGTGAGGACGCCTCTAGCGTCCATCTGGTTTTGCAGAACTGTCTCTCAGAGCAGGCGCTCCTTCCTTCTAAAACTGCTGGAACCAGCTGAGGCGTTTTGGAGATGTTTTAACAAAATTGACGAGGTCCGTGAACAAGCTAACAAAATCCCGACACACATCAATTTCCATGCACAACAAATCTTGCAGCACTAGGTTCAGTACGTGCGCAAGGCAATGTACGTACAGAGCTCTTGGCTCAGTATCTTCCCTACCGAAAAAAACAGTATAACTTTTCGCTAACTGGATTATAAATAAGGAAAATCTAATTGTTTTTGTGTTTTTTTTTTTTTTTTTGCAGGAAACCTGAAATTCAGTTTTTATACTGTTTTGTTCGGTACGGTTGTACTATATATGGGCTTGAAGGCCACCGCTTTTGCCGGAAACGTTTCCCACGGCAACCCACGGCAGTTCTCAATACAGAAAAGAGAATACGTGCTTAGGTGGTCCGCGGTTGCATATAATCCAACAAATACCTCCTCCACTTCGTTTTTTTTTTTTTTCTTTTTTTTTTTTTAGCATATTTAAGACAGAATTATACTTGTTCCTGCGTATAGTTATGTCGGAAGTTTCGTCAGCAATTACTGCATAAAACTCTCCATCGTGCACTTCTTTCATTAGGGGGCCAAGCATGCTGTGGGTTATTAGCTCCAGCATTTCGTTGCGTAAGTCTGGGGACGTCCACTTATAGCCTGCTCTGTTTAGCCATGCTGCTGTCTGGAACATCAGCTTCGCGCAACAGTAAAAGCTGCTTCAAGTTGCCCTCGTCATCACCGTGACCACGTAGTGCGAGACCTTGGAACGCCAAAAAATGAACAGATGACAATATTGCCAACAAAGCTTTACGACTTTCCTTCATTTGCTGAAGTTTAGACTCTGAGAGCACAGAGGCTACATTCATGGAAGACACGCGATGATGAAGCGCTGAATTTTCATGACCTTTCCAAATCCTTTTTTCCAGTTCAGGAAACCACTTTCAACGAAACCGGTATACGCATCTTTATCTTGCGATGTTCATGGGAATCCACCCGTAGGTGGATTCCCAACTCTTCAACAAGCCTTGTCCACCGTTGCTTTTAGTGAATACTGTTCAAATATGTTCATGGCGACCACGAGGCCATGGCTTGCCAGTTGAAGTCACATTCACGATCGTTGAAGGTGATTCCAGGACGTTGCCCACAATCGGTGTTGAGGGACTCGCATCCCTGGATGTACCGGCCACGGCCGGAGCGCAGGTCTCGCCATTGTGAGAAGTAATGCCGGCAGCAAGAACTTGCGTATGCTTTCTTGATCCTTCAGCAGACAACCGTGATCTTTTGATGAGATAGCTGTCCATTGTGCATGTCCAGGACCTACAAGAATATTGGAACGATTTTTGGTGTGGTGGTAAATATTTGAGGGCAGGGTTACTAAACTCATGATGCAATCCCGAACAATTTTGAGGGCACGCAAATATAAATTTGAGAGAACTTATCTCAAATTTATATTTACGTGTTTTTAGACAATTAATGTATAGTCGGAGTAAATCAGCAAAGCAAAACACCATCGCAAAAAGGGGAAAAAAAAAAAAAAACGAATTCCAACAGGAATGACAGTTACTAATGGCTAAATTGAACAAGTGTTAGAGCACAGTTTCTCAAAACGAGGGCGATGTTAACACCACAACTCTCAGTCACGACTCGATGTCGAGCTGCGAACCGTACTTTGGTTTCATCAATGTCACCGCAAAAAAAAAAAAAAAAAAAAACTAATTATTATTATTATTATTATTTTTTTACAGGATTATGAGTTGTTTTTTTTTTTAACTGTTACGACCTCACAGTTTGGGAAACGCTGGTGTAGTGCGTAATAAGGTCACTGAATCCTGGGAAAGGAGCGCCATTGCCTTACCTGCCTGATAGCCGGACACAAACAGATACTATACTTCGTTTCAGCTTCGGTCCGAGCGCGGCCGATGTTATGAACCGAAGGGCCAATCAAACACCGCAGAAAGTGCAGCGTCATGGCGTACTCTCTGCTCTTGATAGGACTAGCCGGCGGAGGAGCGCGCACAGAGACACGACGAATACCGGCTGGTCCTATCAACTGCAGAGAGCAGGCCATGACGTTTCGCTTTTTGCGCTGTTTGATTGGCCCTTCTGCTCATAACATCGGCTGCGCTCGGACGGAAGCTGAAACGAAGTATAACATACAGACGGCCATCATTGGCTGATCGGTCACAGTTGCCATGGCAATCGCCATTTCGGTCCATTCAAAATTTTCGCAGCTTCGAATGGGTCATTCTGAACCGTCGCGCCAAGGTCGCTATAAAGCGCTACTGAAAGCGTTCCTAGCCAATATAAGCTTCTTTAGCACTGTGCACGGAATTCACTTAGCAATCATGCTTATCTCCACATAGAAAATAATAATAATAAAAAACTCTTAAGGGCAAGGACAGACAACACGTTTATTTATTTATTATTATTATTTGCTCTCTATTTTTGTTTATGAGTTCAGTGCGTCACTTTCTGTAGCATGGCAAGCCATCAAACAAACGCAACAGCAAAGCAATATGCATACACCTTACCAACCGGTAAGGTGTATGCATGTGCTGCCGTGCTACCATAGAGTTATTACAATAAACCCTATGTGTGCGGTGGTCTCAAATAGCGCGATCTCAGGTGAAAGAAAAACGGAGAAGAAAAAAAAAGGCGTCCCTCGTCCGTGTTTTGTTTGGATTCCTTTTTGCCGTTTGAACGAGGAGTAAAAAGAGAGCACGCATCGGGAGAGGGGAAGGAGGGGGGGGGGGGGGGGGGGGAAATGAAGCGCGACCCAGAATGGCCGTTCACTAGCGCCACCAACCTACCTTCCTTTTTTGCCAGACGTTCGTGGCGGCCATGTCTAACACGTTTTACGGGGGCATGGGCGGCTGGACGCATCTGCGGGTTGGGATGCCGTCGATGTCATCCGTGTTTTAGTAGGCAGTGTGCACCGTAGGAGTGCGGAAAGCGATGCGTCTGCTAGCACGTTAAACTTTCTGACACAAACAACGTGTCTGCAAGCGGAATGAAGAACTTTGGTATCAGCCAGCGGTGGCCATAAATGGGAACGGCGGGCCCATGGTTTCGTCTGCAAGCGGTCGTCTGCTCTCTCTTCGTGGGCTCGCGGAATATCATCCGGTGAACGATGCCGCAACGACCATCATCTCCGTCGAGACACCGCCCGACGATGCGTCGCCACAGTCCGTGGCCCACGGCAGGGGCTCCGCGCTGCAGGCCCTGACGACGCTGACGCTGGTGCTGTGCGTGCTTCTGACGCTGCTGTGGGGCAAGCAGTATGCGCGCCACTGGCTCCTCTGGCTCGACAGCCAGGATCGAGAGACCGTCTGCCTCGTCTTCCTCATCATGTACACTTTGGTCGCTTTTCCGCTCACCTGGGGCTACATCCTGCTCAACTTCGCTTGCGGCTACCACTTCGGCCTGGTGCTCGGCGTCGCCGTGACGGCTGGCGCTGCCACCTTCGGTATCTCGGTGGCGCACACGGTGATGAAGCGGTTCTTTCTCGGCTTCATCATGGCCCGGCTGCTCTCTAGCGATGTGGTCAGATCGACCCTGGCGCTGCTGGACACCGGTCACGCTTTCAAGGTGGTCATCATATCCAGGCTCACGCCCATTCCCTTCGGCCTGCAGAACGCCATGTTCGCCGTGAGTCAATCGCACATGACCCCCACTACCCCGCCCTGCTTTTCGTCCGGTTTGTTCCAATTATCCACGCGCCTCCGCCAAAGCGTATCCTCTACTTGCTCGTCTCTGATGTTTGTCGAATGTACGACACGGTCGTGTTCGCAGTTGAAGGCAACGCACGGCAGTGCTCATTTGGTGTGTTCGTGTATCCCGCCCTGTTTTTGTGTTTGTCTTCTAAGCGACAGCGAGCAGACGAACCGAAAATTAATTGTGGCTCCGCCGCTTCTCTCGCACGAGCTGTGGTTTTGGTTTTGTTTTGATCCCCGATTTTTGTTTTGTTTTTCGCGGGTGCGCTCTTCCGGGTTCCGTTAACCTAAAGTTCAGAGGGTCGCTCTGGACCGGTTTCTCAAGACCGGATTTGAAATACGGTAGACGGCAGAAAACAAAAAAGCGTATATAGTTCGCCTTGAAATTGACCTCCAACTGACGATCTTCATCCGGCTGTAGACGAGCCATGCAGCGCGCGGTCATGCAGGTGTGCGCAGCGACAACTTGCTTTTCCAGCCGGTGCTTTTGTTGTTTTGAGCTGTTACACGTCTTCGCATTTGAATTGCAACCTTCCTAAATTGTTGCGCATTCCACTTGAATATGGCACGTTCTGGTAAAAGAGCTCACTTTTTCTTCTTTTTTTTTTTCGTGCTTTCGTTAAATTTTGTAAAAAAAACGTGGTGTTTGAAAGCAGGTTTATCCTTATCCTCCCCTGACAAGGGAAATAGATGAAATATATTTGCAGTGGCAAAGATTTTCTTCTCGTGCTCAATTTTTTTTTTTTTTTTTCGGTTTTATCATAGAGCGCGCTTCGTTTGCGTAAATGGACTCTGCAGTAAAAGCTGATAAACAGAAAGGAAAACGATTTTTAGCGGTGCTCTTCTGAAAGAAACCTTGCTCCCGTCTGGTATGAGATATGAGCGGGAATACTGCAACTCGTCGACTTTTTTTTTGTTTTTTTTTTTGTTTAGGGATGATAACTGCACAATTGGTGGTTTCTTTTTAAACGCTTTAGCGTAAAAGATTATGTAATCATATACTTGCGTCGCAGCGCTACATAAACACTAGGAATAAGTGCTGATGCAGAACGCTTCGCTGTATCACCATAATGTATAGCGCGAAGTCGCCACCATTTCCAGCGCTGAAGTAGCACCTTGCACTGTGGTGTATGCGTGGACAGGCTTCTACAGTCACGTATGCTAAATTTATAAAAGTAGGTAAAGAGAGAGGACACATCCAAGAGGCGCCGTAAGGGGCGTAGCAAACGCGACGTAGCGCAGCGGAGCGCACACAGATGCTGATTGGTCGCAGACGCTGATCTCTATGACAATTGCTTGGCTGCAGCGCGAGTGCGGCCTGCAGACGGCCATCTTGCATCTCGAAAAATTGCGTTTTTGGAGTGTTGCGGAGGCTGGCGGCAGCGTACTTAATAAAGGAATACTCCGGCGATTTCTTCATGGTCCTCGATTTGCTTGAAATTTTGCTAAACTCGCCAAACAACATCGCCAAAATAGTATCCCAAATATTAGGACAAAATAATTTTTTTTCACGAAGTTATTGAATTTACAATTTTGGTCCTCACCGTGTTTTTCAAACTGAAAGTCTCTACTGGCAACAACGAAAAAGTGACGTCAGTGGAAGTGCAGGGGTTCACTCTTTGGACTGTAGAATTTGTTCCCAACTGATTCGAAGCAGTTTCATGGTGTCAGATGAATGCTTTGGAAGCTCGCTCCAGGACCCGCGCTCCAGCACGGAACAAATGATTGGCATATTCTATTTTTTAGACTGCTCGCCCGACTGGCAAGCTTGCCTTCCACTGACGTCACGGCACTGAAAAGTGCGGGTATATTTGAATGTTGGTTTTTGCATCATTTTCATTTGCCGATTTCGCCATAACTATTATGAATTTCGAAATACAAAATAGCACACCGGAAAGGGTTAAGGCCGGGGAGTCAGAAAATATAGTTAGTTGAGGTAGCTCAAAAAATCGCCGCAGAAGTTTTTTTAAAACACTGTGTAAGCCGTGAGATTTGGCGTTGAGAACACTTGGAAATTTTTACGGAAGTGCAGTGCCGCAGGAAAAAGGCACAACTCGTCGAAAGCAAGTTTCGCCGGTATCGCGACGTGATCAAAGCTTCCTTGGCGCGCTGAACTGCGCTTCCGTAAAACATTCCAAGTGCCTCAAGGTACGGGGAGCCGTGCGAAGGCAAGTCTCACAGCTCTCTGTGCCTTCGCACCAGCGGCGTAGCCAGGAAGTTTTTTCGGGAGGGACTGAGGTGGCTGGTATCTCCATGACTTTAGGTGCGGAGAGGGGGGAGATGGGTCAAAATGCATGTGTATATTATAGGGTCGGCTAAATTTCGGAAGGTGGGAAGGCTGGCTGATACCCCCCCCCCCCCCCTCCCCTCCCCTCCCCTCCCCTCCCTCCTCTTTATGGCTACGCCCCTGCTTCGCATGCTCCGATACCGATCAAGAATCGACGCCAAGTGGATGTGTTTTGCGAGTGCAATGTGCGTGAAGCCGTATGTGCGCCTCTGGAGCAGCGTTTTACTCTACTCTGACGACTGTATTTGTAACTTGCGGCACTCGCGGTCCAGAAACGATCTTGATTCAGCATCCAGTGGCGAGAGAAGAGAGAGATAGAGAGAGGTGGGGGAAGGAGAGAGGTACATCTTTTTTTTTTTTTTTTTTTTATCGTTAGACGGTTTAAAGAATACCGCCCACAACAGCTCCTCATCACTCATCAGCGCTGGCTCATTATCAACCTACTTCATTGCACTTGACGATTGAGCGCGGTTCGCCTAGTTGTGATTGGTCAACAGATTGCACACGACCGTATGGGCCGCGCTTCAAAAAATTTTCGTTCTCGCCGTCTTGTAGTTTTGCCTTCGAAAACCCCTTTGCTCCACAGCGTTGCTCTATTTGTGCTGTCATGTGATCCATTAGGGTCAATTTTTAACATATCCATGGTTAAGAGTGATATGGGCCGAATCTGCCGAACTTCAGATTCGGCAGATTGTCCTTCAAAAGTTCGGCAAAATTCGGCAAATGGACGCCGTGCAGTCATGCGGTTACCATCGTGCGGTGTAGTACAACCAGCGGTTACGGCGCCAAGTGGAGTAGGCAACACGGTAACTGTGCGTTTGTGAGCGAGTGTAATTCTCTTCAATATGTTCTGCCTCAAGAATAGAAGATCGACCAGTAATTTACGCAGTCCACTGCGCAAGTGACAAATGATGCGGTGCATTCCGAAACATTGAAACATTGGCCGAAAATTACTTTAAAGCACTCCTCGCAATTATAACACTTCTGTTTTCGGCTCAGGAGTAGTGTGTTCCAAAGCAGAATAATATTGCTTTTTCAATTAGTGTTATTTCGCGATTTTCATGTATCTGCATTAAACTAAAGACAGAACTATAATGCTCGACGTTGCACATCCGACCATTCCTAACTCTCCCTATCTTCCGAAACGTTCGTGTGCGTCCTAACGCCAGAAACTGGCATTTTAAAGGTTAAGAACGAGACGTTGCGAATATGGGACGCACACTTTCATGCAAAGCTGACATCAAGTGACTCAAATCGAAAAATATGCATATTTACAATATTATTACTATCTCTTCTGGTGAAGGCTCAGCAACCGTTGCATTCGTTTTCGCGCACGAAAAGGTGACTCCCATAGAAAGCAAGAACGCAGCGTTATTGCCTTCACTTTAGCAATGTACACACACATCCAGGCTTGCGCTGATGATGCCTCAGAACCGAAACTCTTGTAACGTGATTCGTTACTGCGTCACGGTCGCTTCTACCCTACCTCGTTGTCACGCCACTTCTGCAAGGAGTCATAAAATTGCCAGTAAACACACGAAAACGACACCGATACAATTATCTTGTAGAATATCACCTTATTTAGAAATAACTGTGTCAATATGCATTACATGTTGCGTTTAAGTTAAGAAACAAGAAACATAAAACCTTTTTTCGCCAGGAAAAAACGAAATATCAACGTTAAGTCTGCTAACAATGTATCTTTGCCGAATCTTTATAAAAGTTCGGCTTTACCGAACCCCAAGATTCGGCGCCGAACTTTCGGTTCGGCAAAAGTTCGGCCCATCACTAATGGTTAATAGTGCATACGAGCAACCGTACAGATTGTTTTTCCCCCTTTATTGATAGCAACTCGCCGGAACAGCTGGACAATCCAAAACTCCGTGGCCGATATGTGATGCAAAGACATCTACGCGCGACGCACCTTCAAAAATTTGCCGTGGCTCCGATTCTTCATCGATATCTAAGCCTGCGAAGGCACAGAGACGCATGCAGCGCTCCGGCGTGCCAAGGAAGCTCTGATCACGCTGCGAGACCGGCGAAACTTGCATTCGACGAGTTGTGCCTTTTCCCTGTGGCACTGTGCTTCCGTAAAACTTTCCACTTGTTCTCAACGGCAAGTCTCACGGCTTACACAGAGTTTTAAAGAACTTCTTCAGTGAATGACGACGAACGAGTAGAAAACGTGTCTTCAGCACGCTGCCGCCAGCCTACGCAACGCTCCAAATACGCAATTTTTCGAGATGCAAGATGGCCGTCCGGTGGCTGCACTCGCGGAGCGGGGATGCGCGATCTAGCAATCGTCGTAGAGATCACTGGTCGCAGATATCGAGCTAAAAGGCGCACGTTCTGCGCTACGCTGCGTTCGCTGCGCCCAACGTTAAGGCAATGACAGACGGGAGCCCACACCCACGATTGCCTCTATTTCCTGTTCTACATCGCCAACACAACAGGCCCAACGTCGGAGTATACATCAACGTTACTCGATCAACGCTGTTGGCAAACTCCCACGGAGTGCGGGATCCCTTCTCGTATCCCTCAGCCGTGCTAACGTAAAGCCCCTCTATGCTAACGCTGTTCGAAGCTCCAACCTTCTTGCTCGCTGCGGCGCGTCTTGCAACAGGAGTTCAAAACGCGGCCGCAGCGGG